TAAATTAACAATTATATATATGTTCTTATGCGTTTGATAAATATTATTGGATAAACGTAAGTGTAATAAAAAGTTGTAATGGAAAGCCTCAGACCACTGATGTTTATAGTCCAGAGCGCTTTAACTCTTTTATGCTAATTATTTTGTTAATCTATTTTTATTTTCAATTTGGAAGTAAATTTTTGCTCCATATGCCTGCAGTTGTGTAACGTTGTTAATTACCATTCATTAATTGATGCTTTAATGCATACCTCTTCTTTCAAAGCTGGATAATCACAAAATTTTCGCATTCCTCTCATTATTACAAACGACTTAGATGTCTGTATATATTCGAATTTAGTTTCAAATCTTCCAGAACACTGAACTTATTTCTAATCTCATTGTTCAAAGGACAACGATAAGCAAGAATGTAGTGGTTTCTTTAGAGTAAAGTACTTTTAATTTCAAAGCATGAGACTACTATGGGTATTTATTCTGAAAGAGATTCTTATTGTGTGGATATTTGAGCTTGATGTGCTTGATATTTATCTGACACTAAATAATTTAACTGTTGTCTTCACTGAATGAATCAATCACTTATTATAAATTTTAGTTGCAGTTGAAAGAAGTGGGGCCTTGTCAGGTGTGTAGAAAGCATAAATATATGCAGGAAAATTAAACTTTGAGGAGAGTTGGGAACTCATGGTTGGCTGATTGCTGCAATAATTTTTCATTATTTAGAACTTTATAATGAAGTGGTTGAATTTATTCTGCTATAAAATCTCATTGGGCTTTGTTACGGAGATTGGGGAAATGTGTTTTTAATTTTTTGTTCTGATTATTTAATCAAGAATTGATTAATACATCGCATTCTTAGTGATGCGTTTGTCAGACAAATTGTTGCTTGGTAGAATTTAAATGTTATTTAAATAGTTATTCAGTATCGAGCATTGTTTAGTGTGCAGGGAATTTGTTGAAGTATGCATCAATTAATGGATTTTATCGATGGAAGGTTATGTTAGCTATATTATTGTGAGTATTATTAATCATGAGTTTAAGTGAGATTATTAAGATTATGAAGGTCAGTAGTGGATTAGTAGGGCTGATGACTATCATGTTTATTTATCTATGCATTTTATGTTTTCCTCTGATAGTACTTCATGAAATGCAACTTTTATGTGACGAGATCAAAGCCATCAGTAGATTCTTAGAACTTAATCTGGTTCGTATTCATGGATATTATAATCAATGTTTAACTTCATCTTTGGTTTCAAATTTATAAGTGAAATTTTTTCTCAGTCACCTGAGTTGTGAAGCGCAGCGCAGAATAGTATGAAATTGGAGACTTAGTATCCGCTTTCTTTTCATTCGAGATACGTTTATGCAGCTTATTAAGTCAGTCCATTTTCTTTCTTATCTTTCATGCTGTTGCATGTTACTCCATTACTTGAAGCACCTATTATTTTGCAAATCACTCAGTGTTTAAAGAACTTGTCGATTTAACTGTGTATTGTTATTAGCTGTCATGATTCTCTACTAACTTCATCTTACCCTCTCAATTGAGAAATGCTTCAGATTATTTTATTTCAAACGTCACAATGGTTGGCTACGAAGTTGTGAAAGAGGAAGTAATAACTAGTAACACTGGTATATTGGGATTATTTTCTATCCTGGCAAAAGTTGCCGACCCTTTTTTGTTGTCTCCATTTGTATTCGTAGATCACGTAAGTAAGAAAAACAAGCAAACGGAACTAAAACAATATTGCTAAATCCATTATCGATTTAACAGTGTTTTTTTTTTAATTTAATTTGTTGATTGTTGGAGACAGAAATCAGTCTTCTGAGATGCAGTTCCAGAATTTCTTGCCTTAACTTTCCGTTTCATATGTCATAAATGGTTACGGAAGCGTAGTTTCTAGCGCGTACGCATTCATATTTATTCCTGCATTTCAGCTCAGTTGCAGATGAGTAATACGACGGGTACAAGACCCACATCTGGTGGAACCGGAATTCGCAATTTTTTCAACAAGTTGCGTAAATCATCTGACTTACAAATACCTCCAGCTCAGGTTGGTATCTGTTTTAGTGGCCAGATTTTTCTTTTCACTGCTTGATGTTCCTTTTCTATTAGTAATGTTAAATGAAATTTGTTACTCCTGCGTCTTTTGGGGTATCTTATTTCGTTCTTTTTGCTTGCAATAAAAGGTGGGTGATAAAATTTTTAGTGATTCAAGTTCCATCAGTGTGAAAAATCGTGTCTGGTCGGTGCCAACTTCATTATTTGGTTCTCTGATACTTATCCACATGAGATTGTTGATTTTGTATATGTAACAAACTTTTTTAAAGAGATTTTTTGCCGAAGTTTGTGGTTGCATGAGGGAAATATGAGAATTTTTCTCGTGTTACTTTTTATCTTTTAAATGATTGATTTTCATATAGAGTTTTATTTGTCATTTTGCAGCTCATATATATTAAAATCTAGGAATCAATAAATAAATATGGAAATAGACAAGTTAATAGAGATGCCTTTTTGAATTAATTGAGATACAATGCAATTATATATATATATATATATATATATATATATATA